GGCGACAGCGCACCGCCGCCGGAGCCAGGAAGGAAGCTGACCGATTATGGTTATTATTACGGCAGCGACAGCGCGGAGCCGGGGAGGAAGCTGACAGATTATGGTTATTATTAGGGCGGAGATGGGGCGCCGCCGCCGGAGCCGGAGAGGAGGCTGGAGGAGTATGGATATGGATATGAATATGGATATGGGAAGGCACAGCCTCCACTTTGAGTTTAGTTCTAAATGGAAATATTTATGGGGGAATAAATCTGGATTTATATAGGGTATAGCTGTAATTTAGTATTTATATTGCTTTTATATGTATTTTTTTTTTCCTTACAGCAAATATTATTTATGTTGGCAAAATATGGAATTTGATTTCATGGAATAAGTTTGAGAGGATGTGAGTTTGGTTGCTGAAATAATTCAGACTTATGTTCTTTCTTTTGCGTAGATTAAATCTCTTGTCTGTGTTGATTAACCTCTTCAGAAGAAACCCCTATTTACAGAGGAAGGGGGTAAAATATATAAAATGATATGTTTATCCTTATTTTAATGGGGCTATTACAAGATATTTCAAGTATTTAAAGGATATGCAGACCTTCGATTCAGTTGCCCTGTGTCTTGGTTAGTTGAAATCAATTAGTCTTGATTCGACAAGACTTGTTCGTCTAAATGTACTGAATCACGATTGTCGGTTGGCCCTTGATGGTTTTCTGATCGGCAAGATTTGACTTAATCCACTTGACTTTGTTGGTCGGCTATTTTAGTCCGGTTGCCGGCTATTTATCTTCGGACAAGAAACTCATGTGGACAGAACAAGGCTAGGTCTATCGGATAGAGGGTGAATCACTGAAATCAGATCGGTAGCTCAGTACTCCTCAATGAGAAGATCCTTTGGCTATGTGACCATGCTATGGCCAGTTCTTGACCCCGGATAAAGATTTCATGGGCGTACGTGAGATAGCGGGCGATATTGAATTCTTCCCCTAAGTTAGGTTATGACTACAGGAGATTGATGTCTCTGCTCGATTCGATAGAATTTAGTTTTTGGTTCAGAAAGACTCCACTTTAGGATGCTTGCATGGTCGCCTATGGATGTGGTTGTGAAAGCGATGGTGATCAATGAGATACTAAGAATGTAGCATTATTGTGAGGAGTCAAAGGGGTTTATGGAGGAGATGAGGATTGTCATGTTGAAGTTGCACACCACAGAGGAAGGGGAAGCCATTTGTTTCCATGGGAGCTGATGGTCAAAAAGGAGAGATTCCAGCTCCAACAGCTATGTTGATTCTTATAACTCCATAAAAAAAAAAAAAAAGGAAACTGGCTATGTTGATTCTTGAAGCCATAAAACTGGTAGGCTCGAGGTTTATTGATTTTGCTGTCAATAAATCTGATCTTTCAAGATTCATCTTTTATAATTTCGTCATTTCTATGCACTCTGTCGGATGCCATATTGCAGATGGGGTATAAAAGTAATCTTGGGGCCTAGCCAACATGCAATTGTAAGCATATATGTCCACTCTTATTCTAAATAAGTAAAGATAAAATTGTAAAGCTAATATTCACATATGTACAATAGTAGTTAGGTATAATAGCTATTGTTGGGTATAATAGCTATTGTTGGGTGGCAACAAACATGATTCTTGGCTATAATAGTAATAGTTGGCCAAAAAGGATGTAGTCGGTAGCTGCAATATCAAAATTTGTTCATATAGGTCCTAGTTGAAAGTTTTAATAGTAGCAGTAGGTCACACAGATAGTAGTTGAAAGCTATAATGATATTAGTTAGACACAAAAGTCATAGTCGGTGGCTGTAAGAACAACGATCATCTATTAATATCATAGTTAGAAACTACAACTGTAGTAACCGATCATAACGATCATAATTAGTGTCTAGACCTTTTCTCTCAGGAAGAATGGGGGTTTCAATTTTACACCAACGAATTATTCTATTTTTTTTTATACATCATAAGGAAAAGTAGAGGTGTTTGAAATAACTACCGTATTCTGGTTATGATGGTCGTATGCAGTAGTTGTCGGTGTTTGATGGCCAACGATAGTAGGTGATGACGATCGTTAGTATTCAACAATGGTATGCAACAACAGAGACTGAAAGCTATCATCAGGTTTTTCAATATGTTACAACTGTATTTGAGATATGATGTTTGCAAACAAGAATCGCCAGTGGTCGGAGCTCGCGGTAGTAGACGGCGATGACCGATCTTAGTCAACGGGTAGTTGTCAACGGTGGTTGGTGGTTGCTAAGGCTATAAGTTTTTGTTATGTCTTCAATACATTACAATCATATTTGAGATACAATTTTTATAAGAAAGGGTCACCAATGGCTTGAAGTTAGTTGTGATAAGCGGTGAAATCATGCGGTGGTCGACGGTGGCCGAAGGGCGATAGTTAGCAACTATAAAGGCCAAAATTATCGGTGGGTCTTCCGTCCAGAACGAGCTCTATATTTCCACTTCTTGTCCTCTCCCCTCTTCCAAGTGTAGAGAGGAAGTCTATTTACAGGCTTTTGGAGAGGGCCATTTTGGTCATTTGACCCGTAACTTCCTTAAACATTTGATCGGATGGTCCATACTGACCCCCTTAATCCTATTTTAATGAATTGAGTGCCATAATGACCTCCAAATTGAGTGATATTATGCTTGTTGTATTTCACTCTTCGAGACACTCGACTTAACTATACACATGTTAAATTTAGAGTTCATTTGATCATTAAATTGATGATTCAAAGTATCCTAATATGCTCTAACAGCTTAATATTATTTGGTTGGACCAAGATTGAAGTTTACATTATAAACGGACAAATGAACTTAAACATGGGCAGTTAGCTAAATAAACATCAATTAAGAAGTACAAGATAAATATATTTGTTATTTATAAACCATATATGCATTAATTGAATAATAACTTTAAGCATTATAAAAAAGTCAATTATTTTTTAATTCTAAAAAAAATGAAAAAAACGCATAGAGCCAGCAATTAAACCTGCCGAATCTGTCAGATTAACTGCTCCAAATTTCAGGACTCGCAAGAATGATAATCTTAATTATTATCAGAGATAATATTAATTAACTAATTAATTACAAATTTATAGCCAACAGTACTCCAAAATTGAAGATTTCTTCCAAATGGTAAATTTCTAATTATAACATTTATTATTAGAGTTTTTTTTTAAATACAAAAGATAAATTATAAACTTTATGATAATTTTCTATGCTGGTCAATATATTTATCATGAAAATAAGAAAATAAGACCGCAATAAGATAAAACAATTTCTAGTCTAAGCTAAGGGTGTAAACTAGCCGAACTCGTTTATATTTCGAGCTAAAAAAGTGTGTTCGTGTTTGACTCATTTGCTTAGCTAGCCGAACACGAGCTGTTCACGAACAAAGAGTTGTTTTGACAACCCTAATCACATAGCCATAAGATGTTAATGATTGGGGCAATATTTAAAACATCATATGAATCTAATTTAATAATTTTTATTCCATTTTCTTAATTAAAACTTTTAATTGATTATAAATCTTTGTAGCCCAGTAGTCAATTAAATTTTTTTAAAATGCTACTCATCAAATATATATATATATATATATATATATATATATAATTGATTAGTAGTATTTCGAGCTAAAACGAGCCGAACAGGAACGAACAAATATTTGTTCGTGTTGTTCGTGCTGTTCACGAACAAATGAGCCGTTTTGACAGCCCTAATCTCAACTAATACTGATTTAAATGTTATATTATAATATAATGAGACTTCTTGTCTCAATATTCATAGAAATTTATTTGTAATTCAGGTATTACAAAAAGATTCATGCATAGCACACAATTCTCATATATTTACATATCTCACAACTAAAGTTTCATCTTTATGGACATAGTGCTCAAAATTTTAATATTGCATAAAAAATAAGCATATATTTACATATCTTACTATGCTTTAGCACCACACCACAGCTAAAAAGCTACGCCAAACGAGATGTTAGGGTGTGTTTGGGGCAGTTTGTGTGTTTTAGGATAAGCAGCTTATCCTGAAACGCGGCCAGCAGGGTTCGACCCACGAGCTGCGTTTAGTGTAAAAATGGAACTGCATTTTCGGATGAGCGGGCAATACATGCGATCCAAATGGTACCATGCCGTTTTCAGAAACACTCATGCACTTATAAGCTGCCCCAAACGGGCCCTTACACTTATAAAAAATTAATGTCATAAACCTATACATGAAAAAAATATGTATTTCATTTAAAAAAAAGATAATGATGAAAATTTGAGAGGGTTTGCATGTAATGTTTAGGGTTTTAGATGTGAAAATGCATCAAGAATTGTATGGTAAAAAATCTAAGATTTATCAAGATTGTGAAAATCAAATCGAATATTGGACCGAAAGTAAAATGTTTAAAGTTTAATGAGTTAATTAGTTTTGAACCAAAGGTTGCATTTGATTACATAATTAATATTTAAATTATTTTAATATAATTTAAATAATAAAATAATGATATAACAACCTCACGTTTATCGATTCAATCCTGGTTCAATCAGACCAGTTAGGCGATTCAAACCCGGTTCAATCCTAATTTTACTCAAAAACTAATTCTGAGTTTGGACAGAACCGACTAAATGATCAGTTCTTGGTTGAATCGTTCAAACGGACAGATCCGATCTGACTTTTTAAATCACGAGTTTTATTACTGAAATAGGATTGGCTCTAAACAAAAATACTAAATTAAAAAAGACAATTCCTGAAATAAAACAAAAATAAAATAAAATAAAAATATTTTTTTTTCTTGTATACTCTCAAATTAATTTATTAGACCAAGAAACAAGACAAAGTAGTGAACAAATAATACAGAACCAAACAATGTTACCTGCTTAGAACATTGATATTACAAAATACACCATATTTTTTAGTGAACTTACAAATTTATCCCTCCTTTACCAAGAACTCGCTGGAGTGATCTCTTTATCATCCCCGGAGAAGTAACAGTTGTGCTCATAATCTGCATCATATATTCAAAAATTACATAATTACCATCATTAGCATCAAATATAAATAGAGAGCATTTTACATAAATAGCACACAATTCTAATGTATTTGCATATCTCATACCTAAACTTTCGTGCTATGCATGGCGCTCCGAGCTTCAACATCACATCAAAAATAGCACTATTACCACTTTTTAAAAGTGAAATACGTATTTGCATGCAAAGGTTTAAAGCACCAAAATGTTATGTAAATATGAAAATTTACGTGTGATTTATGTAAGAGAATGAGAATTGTGCGCTATGTATTTACAGCCATACGGCCAACCTAAACTTTTTACATCTACATCACCCTAATCTTTCATTTCACATAAAAAATAAAACTATCTTAACTTTTATAAATTGTTATTTAAAAAGAATGATAGGAGGCTATGATACATGCCCCCAGCCACCCTCATGTGCCTAACTATTCGATCCCACAGTGCAAGACAGATGCACTCAGGCGGGATCGAATCCGTGACCCCAGAAGACTTACGCTAGGCTACATTACCAATGAAAAAATTGAAGTTTAGGTGTTGGAGATGTAAATACATAGGAATTAAGAGATACGTCTGTAAATCTTCCTGAATGTAATTATTACAAACCTTGGCTCTCAATGCAATTACAGTAGTAGGATCAGGCGTGGATGACCGAACTGAGTGAGGATCTAAACGGAGGTTGCACAAGGCTTCAATGATGTCTAGAAGCAGGAAATCTCTCCATGGACAGTGAAGCTCTATGAGCACTTCTCTGTCGATCATGGTGACATTTATATCAAAAAGTCCATTATTTGATAAGATTAAGTTTAGCTGAGCATCTGAATCATCCATCTCACAAGCTTTTCTCTTATTTGAAGAAGACTTCTGGGAAATTATGAACTCATTGTTGCCATAATTGTCGGAGGTTCTCTCAGTGATATCTGGGTGCTTCCTTGGTTCTCTCATGTCGGTGTCCCTCTCCTCCCTGCAAAATTCCAGCTCTTCTACTCTTTTCTCGAGATCTTTAAGATACTCGATTGTGTCGGCAAGCACCGAGGCTTTGTCAACCTGATGAAATTCACAAGAATTTAGAAAGGTTGGCTTAAATATCAAAAGGGAAATTTACATACTATATTTACAAATAGAAGTATATGGAATTTTTCACATATAAACTTGAGCCTATCTGCCGAAGTGGCTAAACCAAGCCTACACATCGTAGTGGCTGAAATGAGTCCACTTGCTAAAGTGATTATATTAATTTTCCTCAAATGGACACTATAGCACATCTATACGATGGACGTTATTGAAGGAGGTCATCATGACTAGTAAGGATTCAAGTCAATCCATTATTAAAGGCGTTGTCTAACACTTGAGACTCAATCATTTCACCTAGGTACCAAGGATGGGTGTCGTACCGACAACAAGCGACACTCAAATTACAGCCTTTTCATCAAGACGCCAAAAAAGGCCGTCGTAAAGTACAAGATGTACTACAACGACTATTTTATTACCTTTCTCCATTGTATATAAAAGGGAAGGAAAAAGGAGAGAAAGGGGGTTCCATATCTCTTTCCAAAGCTGAATTCATCCATCATATCGGAGATAAAGAATTTAATACATTTCCAAAGGTTCCCTCTCAATACTCTCATCCATCTCTCTCTCATTCTTTTTGTACGACACAAAGTCTTTATCAACTTGTATGCACTCACGAACAAAGATTGAACACATACATACCGCCCAATTCCTATGTATCTACATATGTAACACCAAAACTTTACTCTTTACATTTATACTACCCAATATATCACAAAAAATACCATCATTTTAACTTTTAAAAAGTGAAACACACCTTTTCATGGATAAGGCAAATGGTGTGTATGTAAAAAGTGAAGTTATATGTGCTGGATGTGTAAATACATAGGAATTGAGTGGTATGTATATAAATCTTCCATATAAAAAGATCATATTATATTTCGGACAAGTAGAACAACTTATTACATATATAACAGATGCTGTACTTATTAAACAAACCAAGCCAAGATTCATCACTCATGTAAGACCAAATACATGATTGACTATAAATAGACATATGCTGTTAACTCTTTGATATGATGAATTGAAGAATTCTATAGCTTAAAGCTTATTCTGAATATCTCAGAAATTATTTTGTCACAACAAACTTAAGGAAAATTAGAGATCATTTTTATTGTTTGCTTTAATTGTGCTTTGTTTATCTTTTAATCTGAAATAAAATATATTTGGTATATGCTCAAAACACCTAAAAACCGCTTTAAGCATTTTAAAAAATAAGTTGATTTATTCTTAAAAAAAATAAGAACACATAATAAACACACTAAAATTTCTCCCTAATAAAGCTCCTCCTTTTACAGTAAAAATTATAAAACACAGATCTACACATACCTTGCTGATAGAAGGAACCAGTGATCTGAGGGTGACGAACTTTTCATTCAGCTTCTCCCTCCTCCTCCTCTCTGATAAAACATGATTAGAGTTAGCATCATCTGCTTCTGATTTAAAAGCTTTATTCCTGGGCACATTCTCTTCATGAGACTTCACCCACTCATCCCCATTAATCCAGTTCCTACCAAACAAAATCTTCTTCAACATTCTCTGCGGAAATCTTATAAATATTTTTGAACTTTTTGAACCTTCTTCCCAAACCCTAAAGCTTGAATCAATATGCCTATTCTGAAAAGGAAACCCAGGTGATGATCTTCCCTGTTCCAAGTCCCCCAATATGGCAGAAAGCGAGCTGAAATAATGAGATCCATCTTCCTCGATTCCCAACGAACCAAGTTTCGAATGATTATCCTCTCGGGAATGGTTAAAAACATAACCTTTCAGTCGCTCTCCCTTGGGAGAGCAAGGGATATTTTGAGGTGATACACATTCGCTTAAGTTCAGAGAACTATTCAGGCCGTTGTTAAACTCATCAGCCATTAAATGTCTTATGTGAACTTGTGATGGCTCATTAGGAATGTTAATGCCGATTATCTCCTTATAGTGGATTAGGTCGCTATTTATATCGGGAGCATATGAATCGACGGAGAACGGAAAGAGATGGGAATCATCCTCTATGATTAAAGCAGGATTCTCCGACATTATCGTGCCTTGAACTTCATGATTGGAGATCAAACAAACATCGTCTTCCTCCTCCTTTCGTTCTAATGGCGAACTGGACGTAGAATGCTCAGAGAAACCAGGGAGTTGTAACTCCCAGAAAGAACTGGTTATGTTGAGTAAGAAACCAGGTTCTTCCATTACCTTGAGAATACAAAGAGTTAAGAAAGATGGGAAAGGAAGGGGATGATAGTAGGGTAGATTTATCAAGCTACAGTGCAAAAGATTTTACCAGCTCAGTTGTTCCAAGCTCTAGGACACCATCCATGAAGGGAAGGCACACAACAGTCTGAAATTGAGAAGCATAAATGATAGGCAACATTGATTACAGTGATAAATGAGCAGACGTGAACTATTAGCACAAGAACATTTACATACATACCACCAAATGCCTATGTATTTAAATATCTAACTCTTAAAACTTCTGACAATTATATCACTCAAATCATTCATAACACATCAGAAATACCACCATTGAACTTTTAAAAAGTGAAATACACCCTTTCATATGTAGGGAAGGTGGCATGTATGTAAAAATTGAATGTTGAGAGTTAGATATGTAAATACATAAGAATTGAGTGGTATATATCTTATAATTATGATAAAAAGGAATTAATAGGCTAAAATTACTATGTAGCATAAAGGAAATTGCTTCTCATGATAAAAGGCCGAAAAAGAACCTAATTTATTGAAAGGAATCCAGCCATACCTGAATAGATGCACTCTGTAGCAACAAGAATTGAAATCCATTTTAGCAACCGATCCATACGAAATTCAAGAAAAAAATAATAATCAGCTTTTTTGGGACCATGATAAACCAAAGAAAGAGTGAGAGACACAAGAAACAAGGATCTAACCTTTGCTAAAAGTGAGCGACAAAAACAACTGTTCTCTGCAAAGTGTGCATTGTTCAACCAGATAGACTCATTAAGTTCATAAGCCTTACCTGGTAAGCTGGAAACCATTATATATGTTAATGATATATTTAATGAAGTAGATAACTGAAGATAATAACTTGGATATAATATTTACATATCTCACACCTAAACTTTCATATTTATATATATAGAACTTGGTGTTTTAAACCTGTGCATGAAAAGCTGCACTTCACTTTTATGTTAAAGATTTGTGTGCTATGCATGTAAATATGAAAGTTTAGGTGTGAGATATGTAAATACATAAGATGAGATATGTGTGAGATATGTAAATACATAAGAATTGTGTGCTATGAATGTAAATGCCCCTTTTTTCCCTGAAAACATCATCCCATCATCCTTCAAAGCAATTACCATATAATCACTTGATTATTGGAACACATCTAGCTATTTGATCAAAATATCATGTCAACATCATCAATATCATTAGTCTATCCAAATTATTTGGGGTTGATTTATGAATCCTCGTTTGTCCTTAGTTCATACAAAATAAGGTATCAAACATAATCTTTACATATCATTTTTGAAAAATTATATATATGACCTCATGTCTATCACATCTCCTTCCTGAACTTTCAAAACAGAATTCATCAACCCATAAAAACTATCAATATAGACTCTGCTTCATTTGATGAAAATGCTACAATCAACAGCAAATAAAAGTTTCAACTCATAGGACGTCCACATATTACAAATACATGACCAAGAGTAGATCAGCCACTACCCAAAACTTCATTAAAATTTGGCTCAACATACCCAATGACAAACCATAAGCGCACATAATTTGTGCCTTAAACCAATATCTATAAGTTCCTTGAATGTACCATAGAGACCATTTCACTGCCTTCGAATGCAAATATAACTACTCAAAACACTAAAAATAATAAAAAAACAATATCTGATTTAGAACAAATCATAGCATATATCAAAGGTCCAATGACACTAGCATGAGGAATAATTGTCAGATTTTAAATGTCTTCATCCGATTTCAGATAGCTTTAGCTGACTCCCAAAAGATAAACTAACTGCTTTCGAATCTATAATGAAAAATCTCTTTAAAACCTTTTAAAGATAACTTTTTATGACAAGAAAAGTTCCTTTTCTCCAAGTCTTCATATGAACTTTTCCTTTCTTTTAAACCTTTTCTCCAAGTTTTCTTATGAACTTTTGTATTTCAGATTTGTCTTTTCAGGCTAACAACATATCATCCATAAAAATCAATAAGTACATCGGATTTTCAAATTTGAAACCTTTGTACCACTGACAAGAAGACTGTTTTAACTCAGAAATAGATATTTTTTAAAGGCAAACCTACTCCTCCATATTTGGAACAATAAAATCTTATGATTGATCTCTCAAAATTCTCTCTTCTAGCTCACCATGCAAGGACATTATTTCAAAATCAAGCTGTTATACTTCCCAAAAGAAAAAAATTTATTAGACTCATCAATATCCATATTTTGTTGTATGCTTTACCACAAGAAATAAGATATCAATGTAGTTCACACCTTATTTCTAAGTGCAATCCCTAGCTGCTAATCTAACTTTAGACATCGATACTACTCAAATATTTCATATCACATCAAAAGCATTACTATTTCAACTTTAAAAAAGTAAACGGAATCTTACAAACATAGCACCCAATTCTTATAAATTTACATATCTCGCACCCAAACTTTCATTTTTACTTCCTAAGCACCTTTACCCATGTATGAAAAGGTGGATTACAAAAATCCACCTTTTCATACATAGAGAGCTGTAAAAATTAGAGTTTGCGTGTCAGATATATAAATGCATAAGAACTGGGTGCTATGTATGTAAATTCCTAAAAGTAAAATACACTTTTCATACACAGGTAAGGTGCTCTTCATTTAAAAATCAAAGTCTATGAGTTGGGTATGTAAGAACAAAAGAATTGATTGGTATATTTGTAAATATTCCAAATATAAAATGATACACAACGTAAAAAAATAAAAACAAATAAAATATACATAAAATAAGCAGCTGCCTCAATGATGTGGAAGAAAGCGTACTCTTGGCCGAAATTGAAGGTGAAGGACATGCAGACCAAATAGTACCATTCTTTATCTGTCAAATCTTCAGGAGATAATGAAGCACTAGGCCTAGTTTGCTGATTGCAATCACCATTACAAAGAGACTCATATAGCTCTCTCAATTGTTCGGTCCGCTGCAGACCCATTTCGTCCACTCTACATTCAGTTTGTTGAGTCGTCTTTCGAGTCTTTATGTCACCATTATAGTATCCATCATTCCACTCTAATGACCTGGGAACCACAAAAAATGGGAAATTTACATACCTAGCACACATTTCTTATGTATGCACATATCTAGCTCCCAACTACACTTTCATACTTACATAGAACTTTGGTATCTCAAAGCTATGCATTAGAAAATGTATTTTACATTTAAAAAGTGGTAATAGTGTCATTTTTTATATGATATTATAAATTTGAGTGTTGTGTGTTAATATGAAAGTTTAGGTGTAAGAAATGTAAATACATTAGAGTTTTGTGCTATGTATGTAAATGAGCCTAAAATAATATATAATGGAAACCACATAGTAGGCTGCAGAACAAACATCAGAAGGTAAAAGACAACAATTAGAGAGAGAGAGAGAGAGAGAGAAGAAAAAGATCATTTAATCAAACCATGTAATCATTTTCAGCACAAAGTGCTGTTGAAGAACTCTTTATTTCTAACATATTTCTCCGATTCTTAAAAAAAAAAAAGAAAAAAAGAGTTGATAAATAGCAAAACTTTTGACAAAATCTGCAAAAGTATGACTAAAACTGTTACACCCGTAACAGGCAGAAAGGGACCGGTCCCGCCAGGATCAATCAAACGCCACCCAATCGGCCCGCTCTTTCAAAAGGCAGGCTGGTCCTCACAATTGAAGAGGCCGAGCAGCCTCTTGCCACAGCAGAAGAGGAAGGGGAGTAGGTGGGGTCCACTAAGGCCCTAATCACATACTCAAGGAGAAGGAATTGAGGGTGATTAACAGGATAGGGAAAGTTTGTAAGAAAAATTTTCAGATGTTATGAGGGGATTCTATTAAAGGGAGAAACCTAGAGTTTGACTTTTTTATGCATTATTTTGTGGTTGTTGTGTTATTCTTCTTTTGGTGTTGTTCCTCGCGACGTCAAGGGTGTTGGAGAGCAGATCTACCTCTCGAAAGTAATCATCTTTGCATCTTGCTTGTTTTTTCCATTGATTATTGTAAGAAAAACCCTTATTTGTGTTTTTCCACCAATTTATTGTGATTTTGTTGTGGTTTGTTCGCTGATTTTGGTACCAAAGTGTATCAAATTGGTATCAGAGCCTAGACCTTGGTGGGATGATGGCAAAGAAAGTTGATGTGCTAGAGAAAGAGGTGGAGCAAATTCGATTCGGAAAGACAGAAATGTTTGGTACCATAGAGGACGAATTTTTTTTCTATTGAAAGTCAAATGAATAATAGATTTGAAGGCATAGAGAAAATGTGGGAGAAGATGAAAATGCTCATGAAGATGCAATCCAAGGTCATGTTGACTGCTCCAACTGCAAACTCTAATCAAGGTATGATCAGGGAATCCTTAGTCAGGTCAAAGGGGAAGGAGATCAAGCGAGAAGAAAACGAAGAAGGCATCATCTATGTACAACATCCCCTAGGACTCCGAGAGGAGGGGGAGTGGAGACTGCTGATGGTGGGGCATGAGCCGAAAATTAGAAAAGGAATTACGTAAGGGGCACGGAAGAGTACTGTTAACCTCGCTTTCGGTCAAGGTGTAGTTTTCCCCTCCTTAGTAGCCTAGGATCTAGCCGTAGGAGCTTTCTGTCGACTACTCCTAGAAAACTAGTGAAGAAGTCCTCCCCGTTAGCAATTCTGGACTTTTCTTCGCTCGACTTGATGTTCCATGTAGTAGTCTTGATCTCTATTGCTTAGCAGGTAAGACTACTCCGAAAGAACTCAGGGAGCATTCCCCTTGGGATTGACTCTGCTCGTTGATTTGGCGCCGCTGCGCTCTTCGCTGTCCTGTTTAATCAAATTCAAGCCGAAATCTTGATAGTATTTGGACCGCGACGCGTTTTTAACTCGATCGACGACGAGCTTGCCTGGACGACTCCGGATGACGAAACGGACTGCGCCGACGCGTCCGGGACGGCGATTTTGCTTAGAAGAGACATTTGTTTCGTTGCGAGAGCATTTCTGGAGAAGGAGATGTGTTTAAGTATTATTTATAATAATAAATAATATTTTATTATTATAAATAAAACTTATAAACCTACCCTAATTTCATTTCCCCTCTCCCGTTTTCTGCCTCTCGCTCGTGCGTCCGTCCCTCTCGCGTCTCTGCTCTTCCCCCCCGTTTCCCGTCCCCCGCTCGTGCGTTCGTCCCTCTCGTGACCCCACGAACTCGAGCCGTTGGAACGAAGGTTCCCGCGCTCCCCTCTCTCGCAGTCACCCATTCCTCCTCATCATTTGCTAGCTCCTCGAGCCGCAAACGGTATGGCGCGCCTCTGCGCTCGATCGCTGCGGGATTTTTTCAATCATTCGTCTTCTTCTTCCCTTAGCGTATATCAGAGCTCCTCTGTGAAGCTTCAAGAGGCCGAAAAATCATTTTCTGGGGAGGACATTTCTCTATTACTCTTCCCTACTCACTCTCTTAACTTTTTTTTTTTTGAACTCTCCTAGTTGTTGGAGAAAGGCGCTGGCTAGGGAATACTTTTCTGCAACTCCTTTTGTGATTCTACTTTAAGGAGGTACTTCCCTCTCCCCCTGTGCGTTGCCTGTGTTCAGCCCTGCTCTTTACCGAGCCCCTGCGCTTTATTTGTGTTTGTCCCTGTTCTCTGCTGAGCCTTGTTAGCATGCTAGAATAGGAAGATTACTATTTGCCTCATTCCTAAACATGTTCTAACTTATTCTTTATACATTTGTTATGTGGGAATGGCATTTAAAAGCTTGAGGGTGTGTATTTCCTTCTCCCTCCCTTTCTCGGTGCTTTACTGGCTCTCGGTTATGGCCTTGTCGAGCCTCTGATGATGATCTTGTGGTGTGGTGCTAGAAGTTATATTTGGTTAAGCAATGTGGCATACTATTAGTCCTTTCTTTTACTTTGCTTATCTAAAGTGTTGAAGTTATGGCATGTTTCCAATCTCCCAAGGCATACTTATATTGGAAGTAATTAAGAGGATGGTTTTGAAATAATTTGGCCCTTCTTATGAGCATGTTAGTATATATATTATGAAGCTTTCATCCACTTTCACTCAAAGCATGTGGTAGTTCTATTTTGAGATGTCTTAAAGGCATGAGAATATTGCTCTAACTTTTATTATGGCTTAGTATTGGAGGTCTCAATTGCAGCTTAGTTTTCGACCCTCACTTGGCTCGGGTTTTGGCCTATATTGGCTCGGTTTTGATCTTCTACTTTTTTTTGGAAGCTTGGTTGGCTTTGCCTTTGTGCCGAGCCTTGGTTTTGCCTATGGTGGCTCGGGTTTTGAGCTTTTGTTGGCTTTAACTTTAGATTGGGAGTCGGGTTTTTGCCTTAGAGTGATTGGAAGTTGATTTATGAGGAAGCTAGATTCTTAATCTCTGTTGGAGTTTTACTTTAGCCCTTATTCGAGAGTTGGATTGACCTTAGTTGGAGGCTCGGGTTTGCTTCGTTTCGCCCCTGCCCGCCCCTGCCCGAGAGGCAGATGTGGGTTTCGGCTTTCACTGACCTTAGCTCCTACCCGTAGAACCTATTGGAGTTTGTTGAATTTAAGTGTGTCATTTCAAAGAGATTGAGGGTATTTTACACTCTCTTGTGTATGTCAAAGTTCTTGTGGAATGAATTTGAGTTGCTTTAGTCATGGACTTTGTCTTGTGCCTTGGACTTAGCCTAGGTCGTGAGCCTTCCCTTTCCCTTTGCCTCGTGTCTTGGCTTTGGTCTTGGCTGTGAGCCTTGCTTACAATGCTTTGGAGTTGGTTTGGACTGCCCTGTTTGTCGTGGCCATGAGTACTTCCCTTCTTTAAGTCCTAACCGTGGGTCTCTCTCTTTTATATTGGCCTTGTTTTTCCTTGGTCGTGAGTCATCTGTAGGAGTTTATTCGGGTATGGAGCTAGACGATGTTGATATTAGCTTTTACCCGTGAATTTACCCGTCTTTACCTCACTTGGGCCGAGGATCTTGGTAGCTATCTTCCTTTCTCTACTGATACAGGCCGTGGGTCTTACACCTCAGTTCATTTAAAAACACCTCAGTGCATTGGAAAA